ATTGATCGTTATTGTACGTATTTTAAATTTAATTGAGAATACTTTTATCAAACTATCTTCTATTCTTGATTATATTGAATATTTCTCATAATTTCGTTTTTCTACTATAATCTACAAAATATTGTAATTATATTCACTTTTATTTATAATTAGAATAAAAAAGTATATTTATAATTAGAATAGAATGTAAAATATAGGTATATATTAAATTATTTATTTTATATATGTATATACACATATTATACACATTTATTTTAGCATTCTATATTTCATCAGTTTTGTTAAAAGGAAAAGAATCTAGAAAAGTGTCATTGTTAACTCTATTTATTCTCAAAACTCTATTTATCGCTAACTCTATTTATTCTCAAAAAGTAATAGTGAATATTATATTATTAGCTGCTATATTAAAAATATGTTGCCATAAATTTAGATTTTCAATATTTAATTAATTTTATACGAATTTTTCTCATTAAATATTATTTATCTAATTCGAATCTCGAGAACATGCAAGCGATAAGAACTGATTTTGATTAATTTTTCCAAAAAAACAATAAGATTTTTTGATAAATCCGCGGTTTTTTGTAATATAAATGCATTGTGTATTACATTTATTAAAACATAATTCAATGTTTTTATTTTTATAATTAAAAGTTTAGATCTAAACTTCTATCTATCTATACTATCTATACATTTTCTGTTATACATAGAGGATAGTAATAAATGAATAGAAGTAATAAATGAATTTTATGCCGCGCAGTAAAATCTATTTTTAGAATTGTGTTTGAATAATGTATTTATTTTTAAATCATCGTAGGAAATATCGAGACGCAGTATTGATATTTCTGTAACAAGAATAATTCGCCATTGCGAATTGCAGATTTTATATCGAAATCTTCAAATCAGTGTAAATTGGTAATTGTACGGCATAAGTAGGTTGATTGTTTTCGCTGACAAAGACCGCGCCGTTTCCTCCTTTTTCAATCAATTCCACGATAGCAGTTGCCACATGCTCGGGTCTGTTAAACGGAAAAAAATTATATATAAATCCATAAATTCTTCTTACTCATTAATCATTTCTGTAATTAATATAATCAAATCGCAACAGAGAAAAAGACGACTTTATTTATTTTTAATACGGTTTATGAGAAGATATATTTATACATTAATTTATAATTTAAATTATAATCAGATGTAATATTTTGATTTGTAATAATCAATTTTTGTGCAAATATTAATTTATTATTTTTATATTATTTTAAGATTTATATTATTATTTATTTGTTTTATTATAATTCTTTGGTACAAAAATAATATCTTTTGTATGAAATACCGAAATATGCTGCAACTTACGATTGACTTTCCATTGTCGTCATCTCCTTGGCAGCGATCTCATCGTCAAGTAAGTCCATCGCATAGATCTTGCTTGACATAAACTTCGAGGCCAAGCCAGTAGTTGTAAGACCAGGGCATATTAATAATACACGTACGCCTGTTTTCTCGTAGAAAGTCTAGAAATATAAAAAAAGTATCAATGTAAGAAAGCCCATAATGCTTTAGTAGTTTAATCATCCTAGCATAAAATAACGATAGTACAGTACAAATTATTTGAAATGGAAACTTACAATTAAAATTGTATTTTTTTATTTGTTTATAAAAATTTTACCAGTAACGATGAGGTAAATCCAATAATGGCAAAACTTGTCCCAGCATAAATCGGAGCAATCGGATTGCCTTGCAGGCCGATTATAGAGGACATATTGACGATAGTACCACCTTTCCCTCCCTTATGTTTTCCCATGTGATTCAAGCCCAATATCGTGCCACGTACAACCCCTTTCTGATTGTAAATATGATGAAACGATAAGAGCAACAAATTTAAAATAGAAATAATAAATCAATCCCTAACTCATTACTTACGTAATTAACATCAACCATTGGCTCCCAATCCGCGTCATTCATGATACCAGCATTATTGATAACAATGTCTAATGTGCCGAATGACTCTATTGCTTTTTTGAAACAAGCTGCAAAAATTATAAATGCATAAAAATGTGTTTATTTGTCGCAAGGAAATATTTAATTAAACTTATATAGATGAATTCAATTAGAAATATAATTTCTAATTAGAAATATAATTAGAAATTTCTCTTTCTTCCGAAATATTATTAGATCATTAGATTAATTAGATAGTAGGTGAAAATCGACCGAGAAATGTTCAACGTAAGTAGTAGATTAATTAGATTAATTTGCAATTTGCAAAATAATCTAAATAGAGTACGAATTTCAGATCAACTGATTTCTTATAATAGTAATTTTTCATTGTAGAGAATATTAAATATTACTTGATTACAGAAATAATATCATTTTAAACTTATTTGTTTGACAAATAGATGATTAATACAGAAAATAAAAAGTGTAATTTGCGATAACATTTATAACAAGATGAGACTTATTATATAATACTATTTACTTGCATTATATTTTATAATTTTGTATTTTTAATTGCAATTGATACGTTTAGCAAGATGATTAATACCTGTCAGTTCTTCAATATTCGCTACATCTCCAGTAAGAAAAATGGCATGATTTGCACCGAATTCCTTCTCCAATTCCGTAACTGTATTTTCACCGTTTGAATCAGGCAAATCTATGATTGCAATGGCCTGCAATTATTAAGACAAAATATAAACGGAAAAAAGTTTTGTTGCATTATTTGAAATTCCAGATTCAACCAGAAAAGTACAAATCTCAAACACTTATAATAATTAAATCTATTAAATATTTTAGTCAAGATAATTAGAAATTCTATTACGATAACCAGAATTCTGATCCATATGATCAAAATTCGTTTTGTTGATATAATTAGAATATTTTTTTTTGTTTAATTACCTTCACTCCGCTCCGAAGTAATTCTCGAGCAGTGCAATAGCCGATGCCATTGGCTCCACCGGTGATGAGTACGGTTTTTCCTTGAATCTCCATCAAACACGTGTTGTGTTCAATGTACTTTCGAGAGAAATAAATTTCGATAAACTAATTTCGAATCACAGTAACGGAGTGATCCCGTTCAGCGTTCGATTCACGAATGAATTTGATGGTATTGCTAACAAGAAGTCATATAAGTCATTGAAATTCGAGAAGTCGATCGTATATGATAAAATACCAGATGAAATCGGATAGAAATCGGATAACACAAGCTCGTTCTCGAGGTAAACAAGATCGGATTTGCGCATCTAGATGAGAGAAGTTACATGAGAAACACATGAAATACAATCGAAACCGCTAAAAATATTATGAGAGAGACAATTCATTTCTTAACGCTGATGAAGTATTATTATTATTATTATTATTATTATTATTATTATTATTATTATATGAATAAAATTATGTTGAAAATATAAATAGGATCAACTGTTATAAAATTAATTATAATAAATTATATTTAATTAATTTAGAAAAAGAAATATATTCTTTTTTCTCATAATTAAATATATTTATGATTTATTGTTATTAATTATAAAAATAAGAAATATATTAAAATCTTTTAATTAATATCGTAGTATAATTCCTATTAAATTATAATTACTGTTTCTTTTGCTATTAAAAAAAATTTAAAGGAAATAGTTAGGGGAGGGGAGAAAGGGGATAAACAAAGAAAATAATGAATCTTTTAAAAAATAAATTATAAAAGTATTCTAATATGACAGAAAGAGAGGTAAATATCATTGGTTTGTTAATTTTATTAAAAGGCAATGCATTTATTAGCAATATTAGCAACATACATATCGTAATACATAACAAAAACGAAATACCACTGATCGTTTCATCGATGAAAAGCTACAATAAAGGATTATGCGAACAGGCAATATTATTTAAAAACAAAACTCAACTAGCTAGACATCTAATTGATGTATCAGAGCTTTGCAATTTGCATATCAAATAAATTGTCCCTCGTTTTTCTAATAAGTACTTAATATCGAAAGAACGTGATCGCGTCAAGTGTCATGCTTGCACTTAGGCTACAGATTCTAACTCTATCTCGCTATACCGTTTCTAAATATTTCTGTCTTCCTCAAAATATTGTAGAAAAATTATAGACACGATTGGATATATAATTTTATTTGTGGAGTTGAATTGTCCGACGGATTTCGGTTCAATTGCATTTATGGTACAGACAACTGATGCATGTAACTCTCGAAACATCGAATCGTCGAACTTCAAAGTGGAAATTAGAATAAAGTCAGTTTTCAATTTTTTTATTAAGGTCGTAAAATTGAATTAGATTTTAAATATATCCAATATAAAAATTGTGTCTAGTTATGCTTTACATTTTAATTTATTATTCCACTTTTGTTGAGTTACACATATATA